TTTTTTTTTTTTTTTTTGGTGGTACAGGCATGGAACTCGGGTCCTTGCCCTTGCAAGGCAGGCAGCAGAAATACTGAGCTAAATCCCTGGCCCTCTGCTTTTTTTTCTGAGGCAGGGTCTCACTATGTAATTCAGGCTGGACTTGAACTCACTGTATAGCCCAGGCTGGCCTTAGACTCACAGTGATCCTCTGCCTCAGCCTCCCAAGTGCTGGGATTACAGGAGTGCACCAACATCCCTTCTTCTACCTTATTCTTTATATGAGGGGAAATTTATTCAGTATTTCACCATTAAATATAAGGTTAACTAATATTCTTCAGCAAGTCTATAATAAAAATTAGAAAAAAAAATTACTGTTCTTCAATAGCTGAATAAACAAATGAACAACTACATCTTGGACTAAACAGTAAAAGAAGAAAGTACTGAAACATAAAACAATCCGGCTGAAGCTCCAGAGAATTGTGCTATGAAAAAAAGGAAATCCTAAAAGATTATGTGCTGTGTAATTCCATTTATATAATATCCTTGAAATAGTGAAATAATAGAAAAAGAGAATAAATGAGAGTTTGCCAACAGCTAAGAAACAGGCTGATGGGACAGATAAGGAGGTCTGGCTATAAAATGGCAACATGAGAGATCCTTGGGGTGGTGGAAATATTCCTTACCTTGACTGAATCAATGTCAATATCCTTTTACGATATTGTCCTATGGTTTTACAAGGTGATACTACTACACAGAGCTGGCAAAAGTTATATACACAGGGTTTCTCTGTACTGTTTCTAATATAAGCATGTAAATATACAATTATCTCAATATTAAAAGACTTTTTTAAGGGACTGAGCTTCACTTGTTAAAAATTGTTTACAAAGTTATACTTTCTAGGGTCTAAACTCTCAAAATGAAATTGTGAGAAATTACGAAATTTATTATTTCTCTTGTTAACCTATGTTTTAAATGCTATAGCGCTCTTGTGCTCCCAATGGCTACATAAAGACTTAGGCTGACTTAGTAGCAATAAATGTCTATACTTCTTTAAGGAAAATAAAAGGATGCATGTACATTCTGATTATTTACTTATTTATCTCTTAAACCCAATAACTACGTCCCCGAAAAAATAAAAGATTATCCTACCTTGGCACCATATAAATCTGAGTTCTTCATTAGAAATTCTGCTGATGTTCGTACTGTGACTCCTGTAGTTTCACATTGTAGTACACAGTTTTCTACTGTAGTCTTGCCACGATGAATAACTATAATGAAAGCAGGACTGCTTTAAGAAGTAATGTGCCTATTCCAATATTACAGATGACCCGCAGCTGACATTACATTTCGTCTAAGTACTTCTCCAGGGAAACCATTTAGGGAGACCCTATCATGTAAGTAGAGGCAGGGGTGCTCGTGGAATAGAAGCACAGGTACTTGAAAATAAGGGGCCAAATATAGAAAGGTAATGTAATGGAAAAACCTACCAGATGAATTCCAGTATCAAGGCTAATTAGAAATGCCCGGTGACCATAACATCTTGAAAGAGGGAGGATCTAATCCCCTGAGGGAGAAGTCAAGTACCACCTCAGCCCTGCTGCTATCAGCACCTAGCCTAGCCACCTCCCTCCAGTGCTCACTTGTCTTAACTCCTTTCTCACCAGGAGAGGGAGCACAGCAAGTGAGATATTTGCAGATCAGGGCATCAAAGAAACTGAATGCAAGAGAATCATTTGAAGGGTAATGACTGCATAAGGACCTGTGGGCCCCTCAAAAAGAAACAAGGGCATTGTCTTGTTTAGGAGCTTAGAATCAAACACTGTCAGAGCTGTGGGGCAGAGTTACAGGGAAGGGAAGCAGTTCCAACCAGTATGATCCAGAACTAGGAGTGAAATGTTTCAAGCTTTAAGAGAAAGCAATTTCCAACCCAGACTAATATATTCTGTAAATTAATCTTTCAAAATTGATAGAGAAATGAGGACTACCCATGACAAAGAGCGTTTTAAGAAATTCATGACCACCAAATCAGAACAAAAAGTACTGAAACCCTAAGACAATGACAATGATGCCAACACCACCAAAGAGCCTAAAAGAATGAATACATCTCAAGGTCCCAAGTTCATTCCCAGGTACCAAAAGCAAAAACAAAAAGAAAAAAACAAAGAATGAATACATCAAGAAAAATGAGAACTTAAATAAAAGAATCAGCAACAGGAACCAGTCAATAGGTATTAACAATAAATCTTAATGTAAATGGTCTTAACTGCAAAATCAAATCACAGATTGGAAGAGTGAGTTCAAAAACAAACCCTACTTTATATTGCACATAAGAGACACACTTCACCCTTAAAGCAACACACAGAAAACAAGGTAGGGAAGGGAGAGAGCAGACCACAGCACCTGAAGGAAACCTTGGCCACAAAGGAGGTGGCCCAAGGATTCTGAGACCTTGAAACTCACCAGGGCTGCGTTTGCCCCAGGCCAACTCTGCACACCTGGATTCTGCCGCTGCCAGCTAACTCTGAGCTGCTCTCCATTTTGTTTCACTTCAGCACAGGGCAGCAGAGGCACCAACTGACTGACCAACCAGATCACGAATGAGGCTACTGCCTGGGGAGAAAAGTTAAGCCTAGAAGATCAGCAGGTCCATGGAGAAACAGACTGGGCCAGTAGCATTAGCCTTAAGAAAAACCCACAGCCATGATAAACTGCAACAATAGCATGTGGTTTTTATTCCAAAAGTGATCCCTTCCAGAGAACAGGTTAGATTTGGAGAATAAATCTAGCGCACCATCTGCCATATTTGAGAGGGTTTAATCAAGTCATTTTAGGAAGGCATTAAGTATTTAAGTTTGAGCCACAGAACAGTTACATAACAACCTCACTTCAGGGTTATGGTGTTACCCTACCACACTGACTGGGTCAAAGCTACAAGAGACGGTGATGGAAAGGTTATTGGCTAGATGTAAACTCCTTGAGAAGTTTAACTTTCCCTCCTGTCTTCGCCAGTTTCCTGAGGTTTGGATAATCTTCCTTTGTCTTCCATCCATGTTTCTAATCTCTTTCTCTTTATTTCTCTACTTTTTCTGCTTCTCTCTTTTAAAGTTTACCCCCCCTCAAAAAAAAAATAAAAGAAAAATAAAGTTTATCCCCTTAGGGTAAGATCTCGAGTGGATATTTACTGTATATATATTTTACGATTTGTCTTATATTTTATTATATAACCATTAAATTTATACTTATGGGTAAAAGTGGCAAATTACTACTTATCACAGTATGTCATGTTCCAGTTTGCGCTTGGTGCTACTGTTACTAGTGATTGCACTACTTTAGTCACGGTGACACTGCTGTTGTGATCAACTGATCTTCACTCTATACCAATACTGAGATTGTCCGGGGATCATAAACAACAGTACAATCCAGTATCAAAGAACTAGGTACTATGCCAAATAGGCTGCAACTGTTCATCCCTAATGCATTGAAGATCCGGGAACATACTCAAAAGCCAAAAGCCAGCTACACTTAGAAGACATCTCTGGAAAGTAATCATTATATAAAGAGGTCTTGATACTAGTAATAAAACTACCAACCATAAGCAATTTATAAGCATCAATGCAATAAACAAATTTTAAAGCATAGAAATGAGAAAATATGAAGCAAGATGCAATCCATAACCCTCATCTTGCCCAAGGCAAAGTAAGGGGACACTGAGGTGAAAGAAACGAAAAACCACACTGCTGAATTTTCTGAAATGGTATCAGGAGAAGTAACGAAACAAATGAATAAGTTCCCTGACAAAGCCAAAACAGAAATAATTACACAGATAATTAAAGAAATGATGACCATCATGAAGGAAATGGTTAGTGAATCTAGAGTATAGTGGTATCTTGGTTCACAAACACTGTGGTTTGCAAACAATTTTCAAAGCTCCAACCCCACAAAATTATCTTTAAAAATGGATGGAGAAATAAGTCTTCCATCATAAAGAACCCCTGAAGAAATTCATGACCATCAAACCAGTGCTACAAAAAATTCTGAAGGACATTCTACAAAAAGACAATTCCAACAACCCCAAAGGAATGAAACTACCACACAAGCCAAGCAATTACAATGGTACCATGGTTCATGAATGCTTTTGTTTGCAAACAATTTGGTTCACAAATAAATAGAAGCACTTGGCAAAATTGTTTTTATTTGAGAACTCTACATTAGGTGACGACCATGGCCACCTTTCCCACTTGAACACAAACAGGGTGATCTTTTCCAGAATCATAGAACAAATTAAATTTGTGAACTGAAGTACCACTACCATGGCAAACAGACAGGAAAGAAAGGGAACCAACAACAGGAAAATAATATGATGACAAGGACAAGTCAATACCTATCACTTATAACCATCAACATCAATGGTCTCAATTCACCAATCAAAAGAATATTGGCAGAATGAATCAAGAAACAAGATCCGAGGCCGGGCCCGACCCACCGCGGGAAGGAGAACCACGCCTGCTCCCGACCCAGCAGCCGTCGCTCAAGCGCCGGGAAGGAAGCCGCGCAGGGGCCCCTGAACCCCCATAAGCACACCCCCCGCACTCTCAGACCTCCTGACGGTGCAAGTCTTTGGACCCACTTTGCAAAGACAGAGGTGGTCATCAAGGGTATTTTTCTGAGTTCCCAACTTTGAACATCTTTAAAAAGAGGG